CTTGAATTCACAGGACAATTTTATTAAAATAGCACTGTTTTAAGGTTCCTGGTCTAGCTCCTGAAACCCTTCGCAGGTGACAGTGATTCTTGTGAACCACCCGGTCAAGTTCTGCAAATTGCAGTCAATGAAGTATGTGGTGGAGCCCCTTGCATCAACATTGGAGCCCCAAGTCCATCTTGGACCGATAGTGCATGTATTATAATTGGCATCAACTCGAATTTGTTGAAACTAGTATCCACTGAATATATGTTTTGCTGATGGATTTGAATGGGGTTCAGTCAACCATCCCCAGCCGGCAGCTCAGGGCAGTACTGTTGGCAAGGCCATGAAGCATGTTCGTGCCCATGTAAGTGATCCTGGGCATGAACTCGTGGAATCGCCGAAGACGAATCGGAGCGTTTGCATGTACCGACCAAAATATGCTGGTTCCCAATAAACACCAAACTTGGCCTTGGGTATTCTACTTGCAATTAATTGATTGGGATTCCCAATCAACAACATGTCCATAGACTTGACAGTGGTCCACTTTGGCCAATTGGCCAATAGTTAATTTAATTTGGAATGTTTCTTTCAACATGTCTGGAGCAATGATCAAGTGTGCTCACTTTGAAGCATAGGCCATTGGGGGTTGCAAAGATCTATCCAATAGCTGTCTGCCAAAATCCCGAAGTGGTGATTTGCTAAGATCCCTTCCTACATCCCAAGGACTGCCATGGCCATGAAGATGAATTGCATCCTTTGACCCGGAAACTAGGCCTCTTGTCCCATGGCAATGCGTCGCGGGATTGGTGGCGTACCCTTGATGGGGGACCAGAACCTTGCGCACAAACTGGATTTTTCCTTTTAAAAAATTTTTATTCGATATCGGTCGATCAATATAAATATAATATATATATATATATTAAAATACACTGAACGGAACGCTCGGTTCTACAGGATCCTTATTACTGCATGTCACTATGTCAAGCCAAATCAACTGCATTCACTGCACCCATTGATCAAGTGCGCATGGCTACCAGGTCATGACTCGACATGTGGAACATGTGTTTGATGTTCCAACACTTTCGAGGACGAATACACATTTTGCCTGTTCTTTTCAGCCCGCCAGTCGCCAGAACTGCCAATAAGGAAATCAGCCATATTGATGTGCCCGTGAAGTACAAAGACTCCAATGGGAAAACTGTTGTTTTGATGGAGTCATGGCCGATCTTGGATCCTCACCTGACCTTGGATTACATTGTTGGGTCAGGAAAGCTTGATGTGCCCGAGTCAGAGCGATCGCACTTCTGGAGATCATCCAAATTGTTCGGGGAAGCATGGGCCCAGAATGTTGCTTCAGAATCGATATACCCAATTGGCCTGTACGGTGACTCCGCGAAAGTCACCACCAAGTTTGGAAGTGAGAACATCCTGGCCATGTTCCTGAGCATACCCTTGTGGAAACCGAGCTCTGTGAGATTTAGCCGCTTCCTCCTTTTCGCTATCCCTGAGGAACGGATGACTTCAAAGACGCTCAACTACTTCCTTCGACGGATCACGTGGAGCTGCAACCATGCCTGGTTTGGGAGATTCCCTGAGACAGACCACAGAGGTCAAGTTCTTGGAGGAAACGCTGGGAAGCTGGCTGGCAAGCCATTGTCCGGCAGATTTCAGGTGGTGGAACATAGGGGGGGATTGGGCATGGGCCAAGAAGGTCTGGCGTTTCCGTGATTGCCATTGGAGATCGCAGCATGTCTGCCACATTTGTGATGCGCAAGCCCATGGCGAAGATCCGCAGAAGCTGTTCTGGGCTGAACCTGCCAATCATGTGGATTTTTCCACCATTGGCTTTCTGGCGCACAGGTGCCCTCACAGAGATGTATGTGACTTGGTGTTGATTCATGGACAGGTTGGTAGATAGGCTCTTCTATGGACCTCCTCTTTCTTTGGGCTAAGTGACAGACATGTGTACAGTCAAAATATGTTGATCTAAGACTTTTGCACCAGTCAGTTGATGGCTTGTAGTGAATGCACAAATAAAGCTGGTGGATAGATGGTGGTTCAATAACTTATCTGAGCTTAGGCCCTTTGATCGGACTTATTGGCTTCCATCCTTCGACTATCCGCTGGTGTTTAATGCACGTTCTCCATTTAGGAATCCTATATCGAGTCAATGGAGGCTCAATGCAATTTGGCTGCTCAAATATTGTACAGTTCTATAGATTATTTGTTTTTTGTCAATATATAGATCGATGGTGTACAGTGCGTGCACGCTCCATTTGCTCAGGCATTTGCTTTTGCAAAGTGGGCTGTGGGGCAATCCGTTGGAAGATTCACGGCGTGTCTTGCTGCACCGGGCCTTTTTGCACTTCAAGTCTTGGTGTTCTGCGCGAAAAGTCTCTTGCAGCCAGCCAGCGTTCCAGGAGAAACTTGCCCCTCAGCTGTAGGGTCTTGCAAAAGGGGCCTGGATTGAGAATTTGTAAGCTTTCGCTAGCTAGCACTTTTGAATAATCTCTTGTGAAGCCGAGTTGTATCAGAAGAGCGGCGATATCCTCTTGGTGTGCAAGGCCTACAATGGCCGTGTCGTGCAGCAATGGTTGACAGAAACTCTTCTTGGATTGGGAGAGGACTTGTCTGTGAAGGATGATCGCACACCAATGGTGACATTAGCCATGTACCTTGTCTGCCAGCTGTTCGTCGCGCAAGGCATGTACTATCTTTTCAATTTATATACAATGCAACCAGTGTTCCTTTTTCACTGCATGCATATCTTCCAAGCACATATTATTGCACATCGAGGGCGTGATGTGATGATCGATCATTATTATAATTTATATTACTCATCTATCGATCGTCGACTCAATCCTCCCAAACCCAAATCACTGGATCCATGGACTAGATGGCCCTATGTTGTGGGTGAGTGTGGGTACCCATGATGAATCATGTGCCTAGGTGCATCTTGTTTTTTTGACTTTGATCAAACATCGATCAGTCAACTGTACTCAAAACTGAGTGCCTGCATCTTATACGCTTTGCAGCAACTCCCACATAGCTGTCCCAACTTTTGGTGGATTGGACAGCAAAAGATCCTTCCCTGGCCCACCAGGCTGCATCTCAGTCGCTTTGTTCTGGGCATAGAAGCTGCCGGACGCTTTCTGACCCTAGCTTGCATGCCCTATGCATCTTGTGGGTGTGTGATGTTGTTGTTTATAGTCTATCGATCGAGGTAATGCCCCTTTACCTGCACTGTCTCATACATCGATCCCTTCGTGTCCCAGGAGTGAGAGTGAGTCAGAATCGATCTATGCCGATGGCTCCAAATTCATGCGTCTATGGAAGCAGCTGGCCACTATTAGTGCCAGGCTTGTTTTGGGCAGGCTTCTAATAATTTATGTCATAATTAGTCCTGGAGAGTACATGCATGCACATAGCCAAGAGCAGCGCAAGATGACCAGCAGAGCCCGGAGTGCATAAACCATGCATGGTACAATTCTCGATGTGTTAACCCTCCCACTAGGTCAAATGTTGATCGAGATGTCAGCATGATCGATCCATCCAGTCTAGATTGATCGATCGACGCATAAAATCAATGGGTGATATTCACGAATGACCATGCCAGGCGACACTTGCAAGAGTTCTTCATCACTCCAAAACTACATGCATCTTGGCAGGTGACACTGGGGCTGGAAGTTTGCTATCTAGCTAAAGGGATAGCACTTTCTTGAATCTTTGAAATGCCAGCCCAGGCTCTCATGCACATTTGCAAGCTGATCAAACACAACAGAGCCTTGAAGGAGTATAGATCGTTAAACACGTACAACATTTGCACATGCATGTGCACTTGCATGGAGGTTGCAGTACATGTGCACATGTGCACATGTGTGCATGCGGTTAGGGTCTGCTTTTCTGAACTTGGGCTATTCCATTGCTGTTTTAAGGATCAAATCCCCGCTTCTGGCATTGCTTTGCAGATGAGGATGCAATGGCCTGGGTGAAGAGTACTTGGGATGCACGCGATCTAGCTTTGCTCTTGTGCACTCTCCCCTCAAAAGGTAGAAAAAAGGTCCTTGCAACTCGAACCATCTTCAGGTATATATCTCAAGGCGCACCCATTCCAGAGGACCCGCTGGATTATCAGATGCGGACGACTTCGGACTCCTTCTTGCATGTAAGATGTATGCATGTGTGTGTGCTGCACATCCTTTCTTGGCCATTGGCTGTGGTGGGGCTTACTGCTTATACCATTTCCCCAATCGGCTAAGGATCTGGAACACCAAGAAGAGGGCTCGCCAGTTACTTGGCCTATGCATGCATAAAATGCAGTACATATGGCAAGTGTGGAACATATGCTTGACATATGCTCATGAGCCTGTGTGGTACCCAGGCTCAACAGATCTGTGGCACTACGGATGGCGCGAGGGCGCGCGTGAAAAAAGGTTATACATATCGAGAGCATCTTGGTGGGGGGCCATGAGCGTGAAGCCAAGTACCATTTATGGAAATGTACTTTGACTTGAACGGCTATTGTTTTAATCGCCTTTGGAAGGCTAGGGTTAATATCTCAAATAGGAGAAAACAATAGAGAACATGTCTTCGTGTGGGCAAAAAGCGCAAGAACTAAGCCAGGATCAATACAACATCCTGCAAATACAGGAACGCCCAGAAACTGTTTCTCCTACTCAGCGTTCTTCATTGTTGCATGTTCCTCAAATATCCGACCCCCCCATGGGGAAAACCACATGACGACTCAGCCCAGTTACAGGGGACCGCAATTTCTACCATCCTGCAAATCTGCAAACATGATCTGATGGTCACCCGCCTCATGAGCTTGGGCTTTCTCTTCCACACACCCGGAGACCGTGTGGCGGGTCATGGCTATGGGTCATGGTGCCATGGGTCATCCGAAACAAGGGGCACGACCCGACCTGGAAGATCGGTCGAACCTCGAAAAACATGGCCGGACTGGTCGGGCTCCAGGTGGAAGGAACCATCCCCTGAACCTTCCCCACCCTCCACCCTCAAGCGGGTTCCTGAGCGTTCGAGGCCTCGCTGGCAGTCACAAAGCTGGCATTGAACACCTCGATGCCTAACCTGGGTCAAAGGATGGGTTTCGCTGAGCCACAAGGGAGCAGTGAGTTTCATGAGACTGGTGGGCCAACCAGTGATGTAAAGATCCTTTCTAAACGCACAAGCAAGCTTGCTGTTGGCAAAGAAATTGTGCAAACGATCGGCTAACACCAAGATCTGCTCAGACCACCCAGTCTTGAAAGTAACATCCTCACATGTGTCCTTCTTTCTACCGGCCAGGTCTGATCACAACGCCCACCCTGCCCAGCAGCTCTGTGGCCAAACGTAAGGCTGCAGAATGCTCCGGGCTCAGCCATGTGCCACCGATTTCCTCGGGCCGGTGCTCCCAAGTGCTCCCACCCAGCTGGGTGGAGAACCTCCAAGCTTTGATCCTGTACTCGACCAATCCTCCTGATCTCCAACACGGCTTAACGAGGTCATTGACAACATCCTGGGGGCCTGGTCTTTGACCCAACCAGGTCCCATTCAACTGCAACATCCTGAACATGTCGGGATGGTCGATGGGACACCTGTGAGTGCCCAATCAACTGGTGTTCCACACTCCTTCTCATGGGCCTTTTCGTGGATGGGGGGTGACCATGAACTCCGCATGACGTTGCTCAGGTGGTGCCATCCACTGCCATGATGCTTTCAGAGAGTGTTGTCAGATCCATACCCATCAGCACAGCCAGCCCAGCATCTCAACGGTTTTGTTTGCGTCTTGTCCTTTGAGGAATCCAACAGGGTAGCCAGGGAGGCCTCCCTGCATCGCTGCACAGGGAAACGCCGATCAGTTCTGCTAGCCTGCAAGTCCCATAACACCAGAACTGTAACAAGTACAGAACAGTGACAGTGACAAAACAGAACACTCTTAAGTGAAACAAATCAATAATAAACAAACCAGAACACACACACAAAAAGAACATCGCCCATTATATGTATGCCCTATTGGGACTGGAAGATTCACCCAGTCCCGCAACCCGACCGACTGGTCGAACCCAAGTCTCGATGACATCATCCGTCTCCACATCCGATTGCCCTGACACGGTTGGCGGTGGTTTTCTGGCGGTCGGAAGGGCGGTGGGAAGTGAACCGGGTTGAGGTGAACGGCGGTTTTTTGGGTGAACTTCTTTCTCCCAAACACTCCATGGGACTGGCATATTTACCTGCATTGGCGTGGTTGAAAAGGGGTCAATGTAGGCATTTATGGCAGTCCCATGGAGTGTCTGGGTCTGCTGGGGCCCAGGGATTGTTCTCCGGGACTTTGTTGAAAGTTCATGATGATTCACCGTAGGCAGCACGGACAAACACTAAAAGCCTCTTCCGGTACTGAAACCAATACAAAATTGTTTGGATGTCTCTCTCGGCTCATTTTGACACCAATCATTCCAAATAATAAGAATGGTTTCAAGAATGGTTATTGCTTTGTGGTTGCTGCTTCTGCTTCTGGGTTTTGCTTGGTCTACAGTCTACAGTCTACAGATCCAATTATCTCCACCCGGCCCTCGCGGGGGGGGCCTGTGCGCACATCCACATTCCGCGTGCGCCCACCTACCTCAGCTGAAAGATCGGCTCATGGCTGAGAGGTCACCGCACCTGGTTTGAAGTTGATTTGATCGCTGAAATGCCACCTCTGGGAACCTACTATCTTTTCGGTGACTGCATGTCCGCATTGCAACCCCTCAATGGAAAGGCCAACATCCTCCGGTTGCCGTCCTTCCCAAAGAGCACCGTCTCAATGCGACCTTCCGCCCCCAACCATCACTCCGTGGTTCGCCGCTCCATCTCCGCCTCGGCGGTGCGACGCCCCTCGAGCCGACCAGGCGGCGTGATCCGTGGCTTCCAAGATCTGCACGGAGAGGCCCATCTTGCGCAGCGCGTAGGCGGCCGACATCCCCGCTTGCCCTGCGTAGCGGAGGTATGGCCTCCCCCCCTGGTCCGGTAGAAGGGGGGTTTGGTCGGACTCGAAACAGTGAGCTTCAATAATGAATTTGTTCCAAGGTTGGTAGTAGTTCAATTTGGCTGTCTGAGGGAGAAAGCAGGATCCTTATTTTGATGGCTTCCATCGTTCTTTTGCGCGTGGAATGAGGATTGTTCCTCTGTTCCATATGATCGATACATGACCCGCCTAGAAACTTACATCTCCCCAACATCTCAAACGCATACCGACTCGATGCGAACAAGCGGCTGCCAGCAGCCAAAGTGCTGTTCAGGAAGTTTCTTATACTTTTCTTCGGGACAAAAGCCCCAAAAAACTCAAGAGAACTCACCAAACCTGGTTGCCCCATGTTGCCCCAACTCTTCCGATTCACTCTCGACTCTGGCTCTCCCTTCCGCTTCGGCGCGCCAGCGCCCACGACCAGCACGTCGACCGAGGTCGCCAGGTATGCCAGCGCCTGGAAGAACCGCGTCCGGGAGATCACAAGGTTGATGTGAACAAACACAGTGATGGAGATTGTATCTGTTTGGTGAGGTAGCAGCTGAGAATCTAGTGGATTCTCCAGGATGATGAGAATGATGGGTAGTAGTACATGGTAGATACATCATCATCCTCTCAACTGTGGGTTCTGCCAGAACTGTGGACTGACATGAGTTGCAGTTGATGTGCCAGCAACCTCCGAACGATGTTCATGAAATCAAACACCCCGCGAGGGGCCCACCATGGCACACCACGCAACCCACAACCCAGCCCAAACATGCCAAACACACGTGGCCCAGTGCCGCGGACAGCACCTCAGCGACTGGCTGGACATGTTAAAAGGGCTCAATTGGCAGGTGAACCTGCATCAAAGCAACTTTACGAATTCTAGTTGCCAGGCGCTTGCTATGATGCAGGTGGTTGTTCCAGTCCACAGCAGGAGATCCTATCTAAATGCCAGGTGGTTTGGAAAAGGATCTCCTAATTGCCAGGTGCTTGCTCCAGTCTTCCGCCGCTCTGCCGCAGCTCGAATCTGATGCGTCCAACTGTCCAACTGTTCATATCTGTTATCGAGCTATTGCGTTCACAGGGCACCTTTGAGGGATCCAAGTCCAAAGCTACGAATGCAACTGTTCAGATCTCCGAAATCCCATCGATGTTGTGCTGGACATGCTTCGCACTGTCTCCCTGGCACCAATCCGACAGCCGAGCAGAACAATAAACAGTCAAAGCATGTCCATGCACAGATAAAAGAGTCTGCTTGGAACTAAGATCCCAACAAAGTGCGTCATCGTCCATTTCGCCATAGGACACAAAGGATCGACGCCCGTCATCGGCGGAACTCGCTGGATGGGTCGTGGGCGACTCGCGCATGCGAAGAATAACTCCACCATCCGTAGTGGAGCTTGGCAGCTTTGCTATGCTTTGCTTATTTCTTGGGGGCTGCTGTCCAATGTGCGGCTGCTTCAAACTCAAGTGCATAATATGAGTTTGCATTGCTGCATCGGCCCCTTGGAAAAAACATATATTTGTTAATGTTGTGACCTAATGTCCTGACCACATGAACGTGATGCTATGGCCACTTCAAGCTGCTGCATAAGTGGGAGTCCATCTTTTTTGACGATCATCAGCTGACCAGCTTATTGGTGTGACTCTCTTGATGGGCAAAATGATCCTCAGGACCCCCCCAAGGGACACTCAATCTGCCAGAAATACAACTTTTCGAGGCTGGATTTTCTGGGTCTCGGCCGTGCACTGGACTTGCGTGGTCGCCAGTAACGCATGGATTGGTTTTGATCAGTACTTTAAATGATTTTACGTCTGTTGAATGCCAGTGTTGATATTCCAAATCCGCAGTAGATTAAAGGAAGCATTAAAGTAGCATGCACACATGATTCTTCCTCAAACCCCTCCTCACTGACATGGTGATGGACAAACGGTACCGGGGGAACATCACAGTTAGGGTTTCCCTCAAAGAATTCCCACATTTCAGAAACACACCATATATCCTAGGCCTGTTCTAAACCAACATGGAAACTGCCAGGGTGCAGGTGCAGTTTCCATGGTTTGCTGGCGGTGGCCTAGCAGTTTCGAGGTGAGAAATCTCAGGAGGCTTCAAGCCAACCAACCCGCACTCCAAGCCAACCAAGCCAACCAACCCCGGTGAACTCCAAGCCAACCCCGGTCTTCACCCCGCCGGTGCCACCCCGCCCTCACCTGGCGGCACGAAGATCTCGGTGTCCTGGGCTGCCTTGGCCTTCGCGGGAGGGCGGGAGGGGAGGGGGGGCCACGGTCCAATGATGTCCAAATGGCTTCCAGTTGAAGGATGTTGAAGGTAAAGGGCCATAGATTTGCAATTCCATGGATCGCAAGACTTAAGAGTATGATATCCTGTCTTTTTTATCTGACCTGAATTGAGTGTGGAACATGAAGTTATATAGTTGCAAAATTGATCCACTCAAACCACGCAGTTCCAGTAACACTGTGGTACGAATCCAACCTCGACCCACCCCCCCACCTTCCAAGCTGGTCACTGTTGCTGTCACAGGACGAGGAAAGAAGCTAGGAGCAGCCATGGCCATGGCTGACTGGGGTCCGGGGTGACTATGGGCACTTACTTTTGCTTCTGGCACCATACTAGCTTCACCCTTGGTTGATTCATAGGTTCATTTCTACCCTACCTGCAAGTGTGCTGCGAAGAAGCCAACATGATTGCCAAAGTGTGCTTCTGGGAGGGTGGAATTGGAAAGCCGAACTCAAATGTCCACCATGCCAGCTTTTTTTAACTTGGTTGGATGACATTAAATCGTACTTGAAGTACTTTGCAGCTCCAGAAGCTGAGTCGCCAGTCGGACCATTCCAGTTTCCCGAGCAAAACTGGCCAAAAAGCATCACCGTTGTGCGATTGTCCGAAAAGCACGTCCGGGGCACCACCAGTACGTTTTGCAATGCTTCTCAAGCAGTATACAAACGGCAGGCATGTTTTGAACTTAAGGGATGCACTTGATTGACCCCCTAGATGAACTAGGGTTTGGAGTGGAACGAGTGGAGTGTGCTGCAAAGTAACTTGACAAAAAGGAAAACAGCATGAGCTGCCGTGCAGCGCATTAAGCAACAAGCCAACTCCCAGCACAACGTGGGTATTGTGTACTTAAATAGGGAGACCCCCAAAGAGCCCTTGGAAGAATCTTCCAAGGGCTCTTTGCAAAGGAACAAAAACAAAAAACCAAAGCTCCTGAACACACCCACATCAAGTTTCTCAACATCTCTTGACATTTTAGTGGTTTCAGAGTAGATGGCACAATCCCCCACCAAGCGGTTGATGTATGTTTACCGTTCATCTATGTTTATATTGGACCCCCATCTAAAGGACATCTTGGGGTGCCAGTGCCATCTTCTCGAGACCAATTGTAACTGTTTGAGTCAAACCCAGGTCGACCCATGAATTTCCTAGGCTGCTGAATCTATTCTTCAGTCAGGGATTGGACTGGCAACAGAGCGAGAAAGACAGGTCACCAACCAATATACTGAAACCTATTCGCAAAGGTCCAGGAACCAAGACTGAAGCCAATATTAATAAGCTAATCCATCTCCCTGTGGATCAACGTGGATTGGCGGGCGGGCACACCCATGGGCGGGACCTCGCCGGCGGGACTCGCTCTTTACGTCTCACGTTTCGTGGTGTTTCGCGGCTGCCGCTTTTCCAACGCCGGCGGCCGATCGAGTTTCTGGACCTCACCCTGGATGCAATGTCACGGTCGCCCGGTACGAGGTCGCCCAGTCTAGCGGCTGAAGCTTTTCAGTGACATCCGGGATTGCTTCCTGGAGGATGTAGAGGATTCAACTCTTGAAGGGCAAAGGCACCCGGTGCATTTGAAACCCATGGACGGGCATTCTCTGAATGCACTTGGAATGAAGTGAAGAAAAATCTGATTGTAGAGCGAGTCTTAGATTGAAGATTCACACAGATTCACACTCAACCATGTTCCGTTTGGCAAAACCCACCCAAAACCCAAAGGAAAAAGAACCTATGCTGTATGCCCTGGCAAAAGGGTGGAAATCTAGCATATAATACAGTGTTTCTTAGCTGTTCATTAAGTACTTCCGGGCCCACCCGCGCTCGCGGGAAGTGGAACAAATGGACTCCACGGTAGTACTGTTTTTTCCTCTGAAAAAAGAAAACAGGTGGATGGTTGACTTCCCATGTTAGTTACAGTCGGAGGGTATTATATATATATATATGGCCATATATAGTAATATAGTAATATAGAAGGTGCAAGTAATGTTTGGACAAACATGTATCAACCTTCTTCCTTCCCTTAAATATCAAAGCCTTGATACTGAAGGTGTGGCACTTGAATCGGGACACCGAAACACAGGACATCACAGGACTAATAAGTTGCAAGCAATTCTGACTTGCAGTCTGTTGGTGGAATAAATTTGGATACCCCACATCACATCTACCAAACACTATGACCGTGTCGACCATGTTGATGGAAGGCAGCAACGCCAATATTGAAACCCGTCTCGTGCTGCCAAACATTGCCAAACTCAGGAGGCAGGGAACGCGCTTGCTATGGGAGCTTGAGGTGTGAGAGAACCAATGAGAACAGCTCCACATGGCGACATACATTAATACATTGAAACGCACATCTTCGGTGGTTGTTCAAAGGCATGTTCAAAAGCCCTAGTCGAACAAAGTTCTACTGAACGGTAGCTCAATATTCTCACAGAAAAGAATGCATCTTTGTATACAGTATGCATGCACACACACAAACAAAGTCCGATTTGGCTTTGGGGGGGCTGTCCGTATCAGTCATCATGACACAACATCTGCATGTTGGTCCTGCTCATCTTGCCTCAGCTCCATAATTTTGCAGCAATCTCTTGTGTGTCTTCTTCAAGAATCAATGCATTTGCCCCAAGTCTATGGTTGAAACAAATCTTAGCGTCTTAGCGGAAAAGGAACATGAGAAACTCCATAAAATTGCATGCTGCATTATATTTACAAAACACACACATATATATATATGATTAATTCAGTGTTTGAGATTGCTTCCATCGATGTGGGGTGGTCTTATAAGATCTTGTGCATGGATTCAACCTCATATGGGTCTTTTGGGGAGAATCGGGTCTGAGGCTGAACAAAGGACAGGTGAAGGAGTGGGAATCTCAGGAAATCCTGGGAAGGAGTGGTTCCCATATGCCATATGTTACAAACATCACCTGATTTTGAATCAATAGCAGCAATGACTCTTTTGCAAGTACGAGCCTAAGTGTGTGCGTGTTTGGCACACTTACGTGGCGCTGGGCGCGGCCTCAACACTCTGCTTCAAGCCCCAATAATAAATGGCAGCCATACCATCCTCAGTGAGCGGCCATGCAAGTTGTGTCCTAAAACCATTAAGCTGCAACCCGAGACTCCGGCTGACTATTTTCCCCGAATTTCCCGGATTTTCCGCCACATCATGTGACAAAAGATGCAGATCCATAGAGTTTGGATGTTCCCCAAAGTGACCTGAAACGGTTGGACCGTTGCAGCACATTGCAGCAATTCCAATAAGGCCGGTTTCCACCGATCCCTAACGTGTTCGGTGTGGGGGGTCATCTGGTAGAGCGGACCCCCCCTGTTTGGAGCGAGATGTGGATGAGATACGGCAAGCTGGGTATTAGGGAGACCTCGCAGGCAACGCCCAATTGAAAAGGGAACATCAGACATAAATAAACCCAAAATACACACCCACCTCAGGATAAGACAACTGACAGGCAAGCAGCTAAACCTCACCTGGAGGTTTAAGATCTGTTGTGATCTGCATGTCACTGCTCCAAAGCCCAAAGCCGGCTAAATGCCATAACCATCCAAGAACCTCTACACAAATCTGACAGTCAGTCAGTCAGTCAGTCAATGGAGAAAATTTAGGCAGTATTGGGTAGGTCCCGGTAGGTATCTGAACTATACATCTCCATAGACCCGAACCAATTATATGCCAACAAAAGTATATCCCACCCATAGCTCAGATATATAGTTGGACGCTTGGCCTTGTGCCCTTTCAGTTTTCCTCTATGGAGATATATAGTTCAGATACCTACCCATAGTATTGGGTAGGTCCCGGTAGGTATCAGTAGTTCCAGCCCTTTCGCCCCAAGCGTCCATCTTGGCCTTGTGCCGATCCATCGCGCCCACATCCTCCCGGCGCTCGACCGCAACGCGGAACGCGGATGGGTCGGAGACGGTCGTGGCGAAGGAAGCGACATCTGACCGTCCAGAACTGTCGTGTTCGATACATCCATATACAGCCCAGCCATC